AATTTCTTTGGGGGGGAGGGGAGTTGCTGAATATCTTTGTTTATTGTTTGTTAAAAAGTGTCATTACAGTTTATTGTTTTCTTTCACATTTCACACACAAAAGGATGGTAAAGTAAACTAGTAAATGGGCACGTCTTCACTACCCGCCGGATCGGCAGGTAGCAATCGATCTATTGGGGATCGACTTATCGCGTCTAGTGAAGACGCCATAAAAATCGATCCCTGATGGCTCTGCCCTCGACTCCGGAAATCCACCGCGGCAAGAGGCGGAAGCGGAGTCGACAGCGGCGCGGCAGCGGTCGACTCGCCACCATCCTCACAGCCAGGTAAGTCGACCTAAAATACGCAACTTCAGCTACGCTATTCACGTAGCTGAAGTTGCATATCTTAGGTCGATCCCCCTTCCCCCCCCCGTAGTGTAGACCTAGCCTATGTAGTAGAAAGCATATTGAGAGCCAGTAGTATTCCCAACCTTGTGCAAGTAAAAACAAATGAGAAATTGAAAACAGGGGTTAAACTGCATTATTTAAAGATTCTTAGATCTGAATAGTTAATGCCATTAGTAACATGAGGACTTCTTTAAAAATACAATTTTAATCTTCACAATGTCCATTTCAACATGAATTTACTGCAGTGTAAGGCATTAGACTGCAATATTTACAATTAAGACATTCTGATAGATAGCAGTGTAAGTAACTGCAACGAAAGCAACCTGTAGTCTAAGTTGTTGGGAACATCAGAGACAGTCTCCATATTAGCATTAGATGAGTGCCATAAATCAATGTGAATCTTAAAGGCTCAGAAAATCAAAGCTGAAACAAAATCCTTACACAGCAAGGATTGAAAACAAAACTATACTAAACATAAAAATACATGTTTTGGTCTTGTATGTTCGGTACCCATGGTCCCTCTTCTGCATTAAAAGGAAACTGGGCATTATTTTCAGCTTAAGGAAAACTGCTGCATATAGTACAGAATGAGCTCAATGATTTTCATGGCAACACCTCATGTGGTAAACCTCTTCACCCACTTTAAGTTTTATCCAGACTACTATATGCTGTGGTCAGAATTAAGGTTTTAAGTAAAAAAAAAAATGCACTTAGTGTGATTATCTATGAATTATAAATCTAATTCACTGCCTCGCCATTAGAATGAAAACACTTAAATATTTTAGCATATAACCCTCTCAACAGCAAAGGAGAGTTACTTCCAAGTAAAGCTTTACATAGAAAGTCTTAAAGATTTGTCTATAACTCATCTCACTGCCAGTTAACTTGAGGTAGATTAACACATTTGTGAAGGCTCATATGGAAACTTCCTAATTCTTTACTCTAAACCAAGCCCTAATCAGAGTGTATCTGGATGCGTGCAAGTTTGTCAACAATCCAAGGCTTAACCTAGGACTGGCACAGTAACATGACCAATGCTGAATTTTGAAGTCCGTTACACAGTAACGGACACCACTGAATTTTAAGTTAAAGGCAACAAAGTTTAAATAAGGTACAGTATAAAAGTTTCATGGTTCTGAGAGTCTATGTAATACTTGTTTTATTTTTAGGGATAAAGAAGTACATTATATGGTGTATACAAGTGAAAATCTCCCCTCAACTGTTTTCTGGAAGATACGCTTTTATGAATGTATCTAATCCTCCACTTCCCTTACACTCCTTTCCTCCAACAGCCATCCACCATGAACAATGTCAACTAACAGAATTAAAGCATGGGAAACACTACGTAAACTGTTCTCTGGCTGTTTATTATCACAAGCTTAATTTCAATCAATTATTTAGCATGAAATTACAATGCAACATATTCCAATAGGCTAAAAGCAACTAAAAGTACTTGTTCATTAAAATTTTGTTAACCCAGAATTTAAAAGAAGTCTAACAGCAAACTGCATTTTTGTGTGTTAGCTGGGAGATTAAATCTCAATTAGGCTAGGTTTGCAGATCAACAGAACAGAAATATAAGGATATACTTCTAAGATTTGTTCAACCCCTGAAGATGTGTAAAACACTAACATTCTCCTTTCCATAGAAAGACATGTTTTCAGGGAGACTATTTAAGATGGCAGTGGTATCCATCTATTTGGAAAAAGAAATTATACACAATTTAAATATTTCATGTGTCTAAAATGCAAATCAAGGCCAGGTGTGCTGTTTTGCAAGAGTAAATTACTGTATCAATCAGTAATAAGTCACAGGAACATGCAGACACTTAGTTGATGTTTTACTGAGAGATGTTTAGCAAGATGCATATGCAGCAATACAAATCAGTTTTACACTAACCTTCCTCGGACGGCTCAAAGATGAATAAGCTTCATATATCTGAGGTGGTACAAAGTAAGAACTCCAACTATAGCCCCCAACAGATATCTTAGGGATACTATTCAAGTGACAATAATACCAATTATACAAATAATGGAGCTATTCATTAAAATGGTCTTTAAGAGGAATGACATCTTTCTGACCTCTACAAAAGAAGGCAACTAAGGGTATACCTATCTCAGAGAACTGGAAGGGACCCTGAAAGGTCATTGAGTCCAGCCCCCTGCCTTCACTAGTAGGACCAAGTACACCTCTACCCCGAAATAATGCGACCCGATATAACACGAATTCGGATATAAGGCGGTAAAGCAGTGCTCCAGGGGCTGCGCACTCCGGCGGATCAAAGCAAGTTCGATAGAACGCGGTTTCACCTATAACGCAGTAAAATATTTTGGCTCCAGAAGACAGCATTATATTGGGGTGGAGGTGTACTGATTTTGCCCCAGATCCTTAAGTGGCCCCCTCAAGGACTGAATTCACAACCCTGGGTTTAGCAGGCCAATGCTCAAACCACTGAGCTATCCCCCCCAACATGTCTACACTGTATAGGGTATGTCTACACTGCTCATGTTACAGTGCGGGAACGCTGTGATGTGGGCAGTGTAGCCACGCTTTATTGCCGGCGGAGAGCTCTCCCGGAGATCAAAAATAACTCCCCCAAACAAGGGGTGGTAGCTTTATCCAGCGATAAAGCGTTGTCTATACTGGCGCTTTTCAGCGCTAAAACTTTTGTCATTCAGGGGTTGTTTTTTCACACCCCTGAACGACTGAAGTTTTAGCACTGAAAGTGGCAGTTTAGATACAGCCTAAGCAAGCATAACTAGTTAGCAGCGCTGGCAGCAGGAAGACCCAACACCCAACCTATTTCTTGCTACAGTGCTGTGTCACCTTAACAGTACTCTATGACACTGTTAACCTATTTACATCACAAAGAACAGTTTAACAGACCACGTGATTCAGAAAACTGAAGGATTCACTTTAAAGTTCCATAAATAATTTACAGCTTATTGTGCTATCTTTTCAGAAGCATTTGCACACAAAATAAGAGTCATTTTATACTTCAAAATATTTACAACGACCCCCTTTGTGCAACCCCCTTTGAAAGGTGTTCATAAACATAGGCACATACATTATGCCCTTTTTACTAACCATAACCACATCTGAGTAAAATACACTAGGCACTATAATTCACACACAATACTATCACCTGAAGAAATCACACAAACATCAGAAATTGTTCTTCCTATTGGTAGTGCCAGTTTTGTCCAATTTCTCAACCACAGAAGCTTTTCTCCATTTGACAAGCATTAAGCATTAAGTAACATCAGTTAAACCATTTCTTGTGCTAACCAACAAGCCTCTTTAAAGCTTTATAGCTGACAAGGTGTTTTATAAAAGCAATAGGTGTTAAGACAGTTGTGCCCTATGATAAACAATAAAATGAAAAGTGCCCCAATATTTGTATTTAATTAAGAACAAAGCAATCTGATCTTAAGAATGACATGTTGGTGTAATTCTGAGGAAACACAGTCATTGAAGAAAGATGACTATTTTAGCCCTGGTTTTCAAGTCAAACAATTACTGATATTTAAGCTAACAGTCATGTTGTGCAAAATAAATTAAAAAAATAAAATTCCACTCTGCTTAAAATCAAGAGAATATTGTAACTAGTCATCCTTACACCAGGCTTCCATAAGCCACTGTCAGCAACAAACTGAAAAACAGTTTCACTGCTGAAACACCTACAACATCAATTTTTGAATGAGAAATATGCATAAAATGAGGAAGTTATAAGTCTCTTCAAATATGGTGCATCTCCCTTTCATATCCATTTTGCAGCCAAAACATCTAAGCCCTGAAGATATGAAATGTGAGAGAAGACTGATAAAATGGGTTTCAACACTGGACAGTCACAGAAGAGGGGGGACTTCAGCTTCAATTTTCCATCAACCTACTGATCAGACTGATTCTCTGCATTTTTCCTAGTATAATTACACAACACAGATAAAAAAGGTGGGGGAGGCAGACTGTCAGTTTCATACAACCCTACCACACTGGTGAGCCAAAACAGCGGTGCCACGTTAACAGCTATCCCAACTTGGGTGTGATGCAAGCCTTGAACATCGGTGTAACAGCAGTTGCATAATAAGCCTCAAAAAGGCCAAGTTCTCCTCCTGCGTGATTATTCCGAGCGGATGGTGGGCAACGCCAGGGATTCACACGGGAACTGAGCATTACCTGAGACGGAGTATCACCGGCATTGCCACTAACGAGCAGGTTACTATGCAGCAAAACACGGGAAGGCACCTGGCGACCCAACGCGCAGATACCCCCACGGAGAGGCGGCTCTACAGAGGAGCCTTTCCCTGCCCCTGGCCAGCCGGCAGCCACAGACCCGGGCTGGGGAAAGCGGCGGCGGCGGCTGTTGCAGCCGGGCTGGGTGCAGGGGAGCTGACGGACCACGGTGGCCGGAGGAGATACCGGGTAGCTTTTCCCCTCCGCGCCCATGCTCCGGGAGGCGGGCGCCGCCGTGGAGTCACCGCGGCCGCCGCACGCAGCGGAGGGCGCGGGTGACACACGGGCACGGCGGCTCAGGTGGGCGCCGAGCGGAGCATCCCTCTCCCCGCGCAGGGGCCGGGCCGCTCGCTGCCGCCCCCCCCCCGCGGAACTTACTTGCCGATCACCTCGCACAGCTCGTACACGTCCTCGAACAGCACGTCGTCGTCGGCCATGGTCCAGGCAGGGGGGGACCCGCCGGAGAGGCGGCCCGGGGGAGGGGGGCCCGCGGGCACGATCCCCTCCGCGCTCCCCGCCGGGCACCACCTTCAATCCCAGCCTCCTCAGCCGCCGCCGCCCGGGGGCTCCCGCGGCCACGCCGGGAATCCCCGCTGCTCCTGCGGGCCGCGGCCGCCCCGCGCGGCTCACGCTGGCTTCGGGATCCGCGACCCCGCCCGCCTCGCTCCCTCCGGCCGCGGCTCCGGCTAGCGAGGCGGAGCGGGCACCATGCAGGGGCCGGGGTAGCGGCAGGAGGCAGCGCCGCCTCGTTCCTCGCGGTGCACGCGCGCGGGGGGAAGCACGCGCGACCCCGACCCGCACTCCGGGGGTAACGGTGGCGATAAGCGCTTTACCGGCGGGCGGGCGCGTGCACCACCACCGACACTTTCCCAGCCCGTCACGCAAGCGAGCAGGCGCGCGCTCCCCACCAAGCACGCACGCGGGCTCCTCGCGCCCCCCACCCTCGCCACAACCGCGCGCAGAGCCACGCCCACTACTCCTCCGGGAGACAGGGATTGGCCCCTGTGCGCAGGCGCGCCGCGATCCCACATAACGTCATGGGAAGTGAAGGGCCGGGCGGAGGGAGCAGGCTCCCACGTGAAGCTCCGGAGGGGCGGGGTCGTTCCTTGCCCGCGTTCCGAGGCACGCGCTGTGTGTGGCCCACTGAGAAGCAGGGGGAGGGGAGGCGTGAGGCTGCGCCCCGCTCCCTGCCTCGCCCCAGGGCGAAGGCGATTGTCGGAGGCCAGCGGCCGCGTGCGGTCAGCGTCACGGGCAGCGCAGTGGCGCTGAGAGCGGCTGCTCCCTCGGCCCGGCGCTGGGGTTTGACAGGCGCCACCAGCAAGCTGGCAGGGCAGGGAAGCCGGCCAGACGAACCGTGCAGCAGCGGCCCGAGGGAACAAGCTGAGGGGGAAGAGGAAACCCTCCATAATCTCTCTCAGGCGGGGACCGCTGCCAGACGGCAAGGCAAAGGCGGTTCAGAGAGACGTGGGGTCGCTATTAAGGTGACAGCCCCACCCCGCATCATCAGGTGCTTTGCTGTTAGTCCAGGGAAATGGCCATGTAAAGCGCCATTTACTGCCCAGTCCACAGGATGGTCAAAATCGTTTCCTGGAACAGTCATGCGAGCAGTTTCAGAAGGAATGTAATAGAGCCTCCTTCCCCTAAAACTGGGCACAGTTGAGCTCCTCCAGTTATAAAAGGAGAAAAGACAACCACCTTACTAGTCCAAAGTCAGAGTCTTGATCTTTCTTTATAAACCGTGCACTGAAGATGATCATTCTTGATGGGGGAGCCTAAAAGCTATTTCTTGCTGTGCCATTTCACTTAGGAGGCATTATAAAGTAGTAAGGTGTTGGGTATTTAGTGAGCTTCAAATTTAAAAAAGCTAATGGCTGGTACATTCTGTTCCATAAACCTTTTGGAATTATACAAAACCCTATGCAGAAGCATATTCTAAATTGCTTAACAGGTATTTTTTAGCCAGAGTTCGAAAAGGTAGTTTTCAGAAGGAAGCTAAAGCATTTATCAGGGAGTTCTGAGATTTTTTCCGTAGGGAAAATGTTATTGTTGTTATAAAAAAAAGCTCTTAAACACATGTGCAGTTATAAAACTTATTAACATTAAGTAGGATGAACTTCATACAGTCATCCCACATGGTATTCTGAAAATCAGATTTGGCAGCTGCTGTAGGTTGCAGAACTGAGGACCCTTCACCAAGAACATCGTGTTTGCTGTCCCGAGACAGTTAAAAGAAAAGAAACAGTGAAAGCAACTACATTGTATCACCAGCATTGTGGTAATACACAAGGTGAGACACCTCCATGTATTTAGGGCCCAAACTATAGATGAAAATCAGCATCTTGACTTATATCTGGAAGCAAAGACAAAGCCAGTAAAGCCTTTAATGAACAGGTGTTATGTTCCCTAAAGTTCACATTGCTAAGCAGGTGAGCCTCCAAATTCTGCCCCAGTTGAAGCAGCTGTGTGGTCTGCACAAATGGCCTCAAACAGAGCTCATTGCAGTAATATGGTCAAGAGGTTGCAAATGATGAATTACTGGTTACGTACACACTGGACAGAATTTGTCAGTCATCATTCTAGATAAGCAGATGAAGTAATAATGAGAAGTGACTCAAAACAATCGATGATCTAGAAGTACCTCAGACAGAAAATCTTTACAAAAGATGGATATGTTCCTTAACATATTCTACAAATGCTTCCCTAAGCTACCTGCATCACCTCAGTCTTGTATGGATTGAGCTTCAATAATTTCATATTCATCTGAGTGCCAGTCTCTACCATACACTAGAAGAGACCACATCACCTGGGTTTAACCAAAGAAAATTATGTGAATATGAGAGAAAGCATGCACTGTGCATAATCTTCATACTGGTGAAATGTAGATCCAAGATATCCCTCTCCACTAGTAGCCTAAACATGCACGTTCAACACAGGAGATGGCAAAACAAGCCACTCCCTTTGGGATTATCTCAAAAGAAAGAATCTATTCTAAGCAGGGCCCATAGATCTATGGTATCAAAAGCTGAAGACAGAGCTAACAGAGAATCAGTATGGACATTTGTCCCCTGTCACTAGGTCACCTACTACCATGTGATATGTGCTATACCTAAACCTAAAGTCTGATTGAAAGCGGTAAAAAAAAAAAAAAAAAAGACAATTCCCACAACTTTGTCAATAATTGTTACACAGACAGTGAGAATGATAATTAGACAGCATTAAAAAGATGAGTACTTGTGGCACCTTAGAGACTAACAAATTTATTTGGGCATAAGCTTTCGTGGGCTAAAACCCACTTCATCGGATTCATGGAGTGGAAAATACAGTAGGAAGATATATATACAGAGTACATGAAAAGATGGGGGTTGCATGTACTCTGTACATATATCTTCCTACTGTATTTTCCACTCCATGCATCCGATGAAGTGGGTTTTAGCCCACGAAAGCTTATGCCCAAATAAATTTGTTAGTCTATAAGGTGCCACAAGTATTCCGCGTTGTTTTTGCTGATACAGACTAACACAGCTAACACTCTGAAACCATTAAAAAGTTGTTTTCCTTCATAATGGACTTCATCCCTGCCTAAGGGAAGCCATTTTCTTGACTTTTTAGAGACAGACATTGATAATCCTTACCAAAGCAACCAACACTTCCCTACTAGCTTTTACCAGCGAAGAAAGGCCTGGTCTAACTTAAAAGTTGCTGGTTGAATCTTGACAGCAGAACCCAATAAAGTTTGTTTAATAAAACTGGTTGAAATACAAACAGAGAAAAGTTTACATTTGTCCCCTTCTGTAATGATTTACCTACAAGGAAGGGGACCAATCTGTTCTGAATCCAACTGACCTTAAATAGAAAATGCCTCACAGCATGAAATAGCCAACTGTTTTTGGGCAAAAGGTGCTTGGATTACTAGGTAATTCACTTCCCCAAGCATTTCTGCTGATTGCCAACATCCCCAGAATGTTCTTCTCTCCAGCATATGTATGGTATGCAGACTCAGTCTGAGCACAACAGTGCCACTGATACTTTGCTCTCCAACTCATACATTTCATCTGTATATGAATTGTTGATAAGAAACAACCTTAATGGTCTATTAGATCACTGATAGGGAGCCATAAACTGCACTGTATATTGTCAGGGTGCAAACTCCATGAGCAGACAAAATTTATGGGTCCCTGTACACTCATGGCATCAGAAGTGTGTCCTGACTTAAATGCAAAGGGGAGGCAGAGGTCAGAATGTGACAGAGGTGTACATCAGAAAGTAATTAGGGCTATTAGCACACAGGCTGGCTGGAACAGCATATTCCCAGCTTCTATCATCAGTTAAAGGAGGAGCTCTCAGTCCCAGATGAGATTTTGTTTAAAGGCATCAGGATGATGATTCCTAAGATGTCAAAGAAAAATATGTTATAAAGGATACATGGAGGTCATTTGAGAAACAAAAAATCTACAAGAAGGGCCTGAGACATAATATATGGGCCTCAAATAAACAGTGACATATTGAGAATGCTGTTAAGACTTGTCACATATGCCAAAAATATAGGCCAAGTCAAGCAAAAGAGCCCATGTCGATGGCATAGAAAATATTGACACCCAGGAACAAAGTAGGCATACATTTGTTTATGTTGGCTGAAAAAAAGTTATGAGGCTTTTTTTCTCACTTCCATGAGGTAATCTTACTAGACGAAACTACAGATAGGCGATTGTACATATAAAATCTATTTTTACTAGACTCAGTATACCTGACATAGTAATGTTTGACAATGGGCCACAGTTTAGTGGGCATGAATTTAAGCATATTTCAGAGAAGTATGGGTTTAGACAGGTAATGACCCAGTGCCTATTATTTCCAATTCAATGCATTGGTGTAAAACTGTCAAAATAATAAAGCCTACTGAAAAGGGCGGTGGAGTTGGACTCTGATCTTTATTTAGCACTGTTAAATTACAGAATGGCACCAGGGAAACATGGGTTGTCACCTGCTGACATTTTGTTCAACAGAAAACTTAAAACAAGAATGCCTGCAGTGTTAGAAACTGATATCAGAGTCACAGGGGATTTGCAGATGTATAAAGAGACAGATGAGGCAAAAGAAACTCAATATGATTTGGGGTTCTGGGAGCTGCTTAATGAAAATTACACTGTGCATATCTATGATGGGAAATAATGATTGCAAATAGCGGTGTCACAAGAGGTTGTCACCTCAGACAGATACATACTGCAGATGAATAGGTGACATCTATAGATTGCAGGAGAGATCGAGATAACGGGCACTGAGTTGGCCATCTTGCCTGAGAAGGTCTCAGGGAGACAATAACCATAGCAGGGTGAGAGGGCTGAGTCCCATCATATGACACAAGCACAACTAACTGTCTTACCACCTCCTGCCAACAGTGATACTGATGTCTCAGGAGAGATCAGGTTCATGCAACAGTGCAGGACATCTCAGAGACCAATTGTTTAGTTAACAGGTTGGTAATACAGAATTTCAAAAACATATAATGTTAATATTGATAATTGTTATATTAGGCTGGGGAAGAAAGGTGTGGAGAACTGTACCTTTAAGAGGCTTTGCCAGCATTATTTGGAATCAGTTATGTTATACAAAGTCTTGTGTTGCACAATGCTGATGATTTGGAAATCAGACGCTGAGTGAAGCAAACAGGTGTGGTGATGTAGGATTGGAATTACAGAGGCTAGAGTTACTATCCTGAGCCTGCACAGATGACTGAAGATGTTCAGTTATCCAGAACAGAGCACAAGACCCCTTTTTGGGGGAGGGAGGATTAGAAAGTAAAGAGAGTAGAAACCCTTCCCCATGTTCTTGAGTTACTACTTCCACTGCTCCAATATTTAGAAGTGTCTTGAGGTGTAGCTTTCTGTTCACTATGTGTACACCTCTTGTTAGCCACTGTGACAACCAGTGACTCAGTGAAAATTTGTGAAAAAATTGCCAAAA